CTCTAACTCCAAGTCTCCAATATATGATCTTATCATGGCACTAGGCAATGAACCCTTCTCCCAACCACAGCCACTCACCATAATAATGGTTATAATGTACCTTTTGACCATGTTGTCAGACTTGGACCGGAAAGAAAACCGAGAAGTTTACTGGGTCACTGCTGGTTCACAGTTCAACCATAGAGTCCGGTCCAAGTCTGCTGATTCACTGATTCAACATGGCCATCTCCATACTGCAATCTTTACACTGAAAATCTGTACTAACTTGTAGTGTATAGTTATTAGTTGGTTTATCAAAATATTGTTTAATATTTACGAGGACAGAAGAAAAGAGACACAAGCTCTACGATCCTTGCATTTTACAGTTGGATTGGGAGTCAATATTGGTCGTCAGATTTGGCCATGCACCATTATTCACAACCTTGCATTATTTTACTGTTTTATATTCATTTATAAATTCTACGGACCGCAGAATCCAAGGTCTATTTCAATTTATCGTATCCCTTAACCACAGAGACGATGATCATCCTTCATCAACCTGGAGTTCTATTGCTGTTAAACAATAATAGAAAAAAAAGAATATTAATTATCTTTTATTTTTCTTCAGTATCGAGAGATAACAAATGATGAACAGGAAGAGTTTTATTGGCAATCGAAAAAAGTGAAACACTAGCTACCAGAGTCTGAGTCTCCTCTGGAACAGTTGGCTTTCCCACAGTCAATTCTCACTTCCATCTATGCTTCGCCATGATCATTCCAAGCGGTCTCATCAGAGGTGAGAACTCAAAGCAGAGAGGCACGTAAAACAGTAAAAGGCTAGTTGTTATATTGCATGCCTGATGTACACTTTGTACTCAAAAGCCTTGCACCCCAGATGAGTACTGGCACCATCGTCGGTGACTCTTGCTTAATTGTGAGATACTGAGATGGGTTTAACCGTTTAATTAAGGAAGGTGTGCCATACAATTCACCAGCCATGAAACCTCTGGTTGCTTTGATGAAAGTTAGACCTGTTTGTTGGATTTTAGCAAGAAGAGAGCTCAGTGTCTCAAATCATTTGGGACCCATTTGATTTGAATTATTGAAATCAGTTCACGAGCTCAATGTTCGAAAAGCTAGCCCTTTAGCTTTTTTCTTGTGAGAAAGAGTTGGACCATGACAGAAAAAGGGAGAGACATCTCACACATTTGGGACCCATCTGTATTCGTGGGTTCACGAGTTCAGTATATGGGCGGCGCTTGTCAGCCGCAGGATTTTTCATGCCAGCCATTTTAACCCACGTCATTTTCTCCCATTTGTTCCATTTCTTTATCTGCCAAAATCCCACCTCTCTTTAACGTTCTTCTTGCTCCAGGTTCAAGTTTTTTCTCACAGGACAAGAGCTAGAGTTCAGATTCTGAATTTTTAGAGATTCTATGGGGATGGAGCAATCAATATCGATCTGGTCCCGCATAGCCGGACACATTACACAGCTTCTCTTTACGTGGCCAATGGCGACTACTACCAGTCTACCAGTGCAGCCGTTCTTGAATGGAGAAAACACCATGCATATATGTTTCACTCACACAGGTGTTTGATATTTACCGCAATGAAACTAGAGCCACTCTTGGAAGAATTTCTTACATTTTCCACAAACCCCAGAAAAAGAAGAAGCCTAGACAAAATATGGAGGACTACCCTATATTCTAGATGCAAACTTCTGGAGGTTAAACTTCATGGGCTCACTCACTGACTTACACAGGTGTTTGATATTTACCGCAGTGGAACTAGAGTTAACCTTGGAAGGATTTCTTATATTCACCACAAATCCCAGAAGAAGAAGACCAGAATGGATATTATATATTGAAACGAACTTCTCGAGGTTAAGCTTCATCGTCTCACTCACACAGGTGTTTGACTTTGATATTTACTGCAATGAAACTAGAGCTAATCTTGGAAGAATTTCATAAACTTACCACAAAGCCCAGAAGAAGAAGAAGAAGAAGAGAATGGAGGACAATGTATTCACTATTGAAACTTCTGGAGGTTGAGCTTCATGGCCTCACCATCTACGTAAGCTTTTGGCTTTAAATGAAAATGTAAATTTGTTTTCATTTGGACGACAACTTTTAAGCAACTTCTTGTCCCGAATCGGACGCTTTACGTTGACGTGCCAGTTTGCTATGATTGGATTCTTTTGCACACTTTTTTCTAATTATATAGAACGTTTAGTTGGGTTGTGTACTCTTCCTTCTGTGTTACCAGCCTATGTGTTTGCACAGATTCCAGTTGTCTAATTGGTGGCCCACAACCCAAATAATTCACTCTCGGCCGTCCAACAAGCTGGATGCATGTGACTCTCTGGCTCGTGCCGCGCCTGGTGCCACATGTGATGATTTAATTAATCTCTGTTTGGACTTTGGACATCACCTCAGATTAACTAGTTATTCTGCTCTGGTGATTTGGATTTTGAACACACTCCATGCTTAAGCTTGTAGATGGGTCTCTCTCTCTCTGTGCAACCCAAACGATGCATAAGCTGTCATGTACTCTTTATATACTTTAAGGAACCTCTTAACCAGAGACAAGGAAACTATTATCATTAATTCAATCAGTATACATTCTGGGACCAACAAACACGAACAAAATAGAAGGTAAACAGTTACAACACAACATACAAAATAGAAGCCCCTAATGTATTAAACTTTTTGGTTGAGTTGTTGAGACCTGGGGGACCCGGAGGCAAGGCATCTTGTGATCTGCCATTAAAGCTGTCGACTCATGAATAGAAGTCTCGTGTTTTTTTTTTCCCTTCAACGTCACTCAACGTGGCTGCCTTAACTATTCTTTTCAAGTGCCATTTCCTGTATCATATATTTTTATTACAAGTGCCAAAATCTGTAAATAATCAAATCACCCTACCCAAACAATCCCTCACCTAGCTCCTCCTTAGAGACAATACATACATATATATATATATATTCAAAGGACCTCACCAACATCTTAAGCTTTTAACTTAAATGGTTCTTTGAAATGACATCCGAGCATGTTTGACTTGGGACTGGATTTTGTAGGTACATCAAAGAAAGCATATTAAATGAGCACTTGATAAATATTTTGACAACTGTCAAAAGTGGGTATTAATCTTTTTTAACGGTGGGGAGAGGGTATTTTGTGCCTACCTCATCTGAATCTGCTTGACTTAGTGGTCTAGTGTTTCATCTGATTGCCATCACTATATTTAATTAAAATTTCAATACAAGATATAAATATGCCTGTGCTTGTCCATGTTTCAAGCCCAATAGGATTTAGTATGAGAAGGTCTATATTAGATTAAAAACCTAATCAAGAACCTCATCTAAATACTTAAGCTTTTAAGTTAAACAATTCTTCAGACTCCCCGTCATTCCATCTCCTCTTACACAATATGTTGCAGAGCCATGTGAATTGCCAATGAGACAACGAATAACCCTAACCAATATTTTTCATTCGTGAAAGGTGGGAAATTGAAGACTAACTAGATGATAATAGTTATATACCGACCAATATGTCAGAAGCCTGAGATGATTGATGGAATGCATCAGGCAAGCTGTTTAACCTTTGGACCAATAACATAATTCACAAGGATCCTTATCTATAAATGCATGGATCGGTTTCGACCAACCATTAATTGGTCTCACAGAAGAAATTCACATGACTCAAATAAATGTGATTGATGACAACTATGTACTTGGGTGTGGTTGGAATTCTCTTTTTTATTTTCGAGGGGTTATGGGTATTTGGAAACTGTATGAGAGTTTTAGGAGGGATTTGAGGTATGATTTTGATTTTCAAAAAACCAGACACCCCCCTCATTTCAAAATTTGCTTTCTAAAGGATTTTCGAGGGGTATTCTCCAATGACAATATCATGCATATGGGCGAGAACCCACAGAACTGGTCAGTCATTTGAATTCTGTGGATGAATTGGTGAGGCAATGGATTCGATTCCATTTTCACCCAATAATCCAAATCCACACAATTGATGTTGCAGGTAATGAGTAAGAAAGAGGAAAACCCTACTAAATTTGTGTTCATTTTCTTTCACACACATAGGGACACTTTGGAGGGACCCATTACCCTTTTGGAAGTGGTCCTGTTCTGTAGTGTTAACGTTTGAGACAAATGGCTATCTATGGGAAATGCTTTGAAATTATAATTGTATATTATATTAATTGGCTGAGAAATTAAAGAGCCATTTATTTGTATTTGGTACTAAGGAATCATCCAAGCTGTGCTCGTGCAACAATAATAGAGGTTAAACTCAGCCACAGTCCACAGAAGAAATTGGCAACAGACAAATCCATGGCCATCAGTAGCTAGTTGCAAACCATATTTTGACACCATGCCAAACTCCTTCCTTTGCTCATGTGATAGATGATCCAAGCAATTGCTCCCTTGTTTTATATGGCTGCACATGCTCATCTATCTGATTCATCAAATAATTTATGCCTGTTTCCTTCATTGATTTGTTTAATCAATGTTAAATTACATTATTCATGTCTATTACTACTCATTGCATAATTGAAAATCCGTAGTTTGGATGGCACATGGAATTTAATTGTTTTAGTTTAGTGCTGTCAATACCTAATTGAACCAACCCACCTTCTTTACTTAAATACAAATTCATGGGTATGAATCCGATTTAATAAGGTTGTGTTTGGTACCATTTGCTGTTTCAATTTAAAACGGTTTTAGATTGATTAATACAAATTGATATACTACTATTATTTGAGGCTCTTTATGGTTGAAATAAGCTAAACTTAAAAATTCATATAAGGGAGGCTGCGTAGAGTATAATCTAATCATTCAACTAAAAAGTTCTATCGATCAACCCAAAACGTTTCATACAGAAACATCAATTGCATCAAACATAACCCAAATCAATCCTTTTTTATGTGTTAGCTTCAAAGAATTAATTAAAGCAGGAAATTTGGAGATAAAGCTCATCAAAACACAACAGTGGGCAGCACTATCAGGGTGTAAAATAATATCACGGCCGTCCAATTAGACCAACCCACCAAGAAATCTTGGTGATTGTTGATTGGGCCCCATCATCAACATTGCTGTTATGTTGTGAAGTGTGAACTCGGCGAGTCATGCCAAATATTGAAATATATTAATAAAAAAAGAAAATCATGAAACAGTTGTTCTTGTTAAGCTTCTGGTGGTGGGTCGGCAAGCTAATTGAGCAGAGAGAGGGATGGACCCACCATTTAAACGGCCAGATGAAGCATCTCTGTGTCACTGGACTGGTTTACCGTTAATGCAACTGGTGGTGTTGCAGCAATCCTCAAATCCCAACTCGGCCGAGTCGACTCAACAACTCACGTCATCACAATCACGCTTGAAATTTGAGAAACTGACGTCTTTCCGTGTTCATTTCCGTCACCGGAATAAAGAAAAGAAAACAAGCACGCTCGTTCTTTACAAAATTACATAACAACCCAGAAAAATATACAATTTACTCGTCAATCCATAATTTAATTCCTTCCTTCTATTTGTGATTTCGCCTTCGCCTTACATAGCAACTGTAGCATATAACCTACCTATATAGTATATACTTCACAAAATCAAACGGTCAGAAACCGTCAATCATGGACTCCCCGTCGCATTTGTTACCGAATTAACGTACGTATTCACCAATGCAAGCGCATTGCTCGTGAACTTCCTGACGTTGCCGACGCGATCGCAGACGTCGGTTTTCGTGGGCCCGTCGGGTACATCGTCGAATTCCTCCGTACACGTGTCCTCGTTGGTCAGAGCGGCACTCATCCACGTCTGCACGTTGTTCATCTGGAATTTGAACGTTTCCTGCGAGTTGATGTGCCGCATCTCGTTGATCGAACGGCGCATCTGGTCGACCGCATCTCCGAAGGTGGTGAAGCAGTCCTGCAGCACGGCCGCGGCTCCCTGGTCGGCGCCGGTTTCGGCTTCGCGCGAGAGGTTTGACAGGTAGGTGGCCGTGCGGTGGGCGTTGGAGAGGCTGACGGCGATGGCTAGGCGCGCCAGCTGGCCGGGGTCCTGCTGGACGGCGCTGCCGTAGCGGGAGAGCGAGGTGTAGCAGACGTCAGGATATAATGTTGTGCTGCAGCTTGAGCGGATGAAATCGGTGGCATTGCTGCTTGGATCAGTCGGATCGACGGCTGAGATTCCTGGGAGGAGGAAAAAAGCTGTCGCGAGCAGAGGGGAGAGAAGGCGGAGGAGAGGAGTTGTCGCTGCCATTCCTTCTCGGTTTGGAGTTTCGAGGAGTTGGATGGAGTGTGAAGCCGTGGAGGGCTTTATGTAGGCTCGTTTCTCTGGACTACTACATTCACTAAATTACCCTTAGTTTATTCATAAAAGAAAATGATTGGGTAGGGGTGTTTTCGTCAGTAAAAAAAGTAGTGGCCATTTAAGTAGTTGATTCTAAAGTGGGGGTAATTTTAACAGGCGCACGTTTCGGTAACATTTAATAGAACCGCGCGTGCCGTGGGGAAAGCTAAAAAGTGGAAGAGGAGGCTCCTTTTAATTGCGGCGAGTGCGGTGGCCGGTGAGGCGTGCAAGCGGGGAGTAATGGCGGTCGACACAGTCCACGTAATCAATGGTCGTCGGTAATCACTTCATCAGTAATTATCCACTACGATTAGGAAGCTGGTTAATCTGGTATGACCTTCTAATTGTTGTTAGTTAAAATGATGATGGTTAATCTGACGGCTAATAGACATGACGGGGTGGGATCCACATCCGTCCACCTAGCTAGCAATGTTGTTGACTTGTTGCCTGGTGGAGGAAGTAGCCGACCACCTTTGTCTTAAGTTGTTTAGGTGTATAGCCACAGCACTATCAATTTGGGAAGGCCTAATATGATTTACCACGTCAGCTCTATAACGTGGGGCCCAAGCATCTTGTTGCGAGTGTTGGATCCCCCCAAATAACCGTCTGATCAAGATCCGGAAACGATTTTTGGTCCGTTGATCCACATTATCACTTTCTCTTCGAATTGCAGTGCTCCTGGGTGGATGAGGCATCGGTTCTCCAACGAGCCTATCGGGTGGAGTGGATATGGGCCGGATCAATATTGTGAATGAACCGGACCCGGTTTGCAGTAAGCAGCAGGTACCTTAGCCAATCTGGACACCTTGAACAGATGGATGGCTATATGGGTCCCTCAACCCAGCAAAACTATGAAGAACGGTCATAATTAACTCGCGTCGGATCTATCATGTGTTGGAAGGCTGTCAACTGTGATGTGCCTAGCGTTGCTTGTTACTTGCAGATCCGGACTCCTGACAAACATTGCAGTAGATTGGGCTTTTGAAATGGGTGCATCTTATACTTTACTTATCTGCAGAGATAAGAATGATGGTTCCGTTGTTGCTGTTACGTGAACTGAAATGTATGACCTTTTATAAAGCTGTGAGAGGAGGGAAACCCGGCTGCGGATTTCTTGGCCCGGAATATAATTTTATGCCCCGATTAACAAGGAATTAACAAATTTAGCGTCAACGGAACAAAAGCATACATATATGTTTGGCTTGCATGGCGGAGGCCAGAGGGTTCCATTGTTCAACATCATCTTCCAAATCTTCTTTCCATACTCAACCTCCAAAACTCTAATTTGTTGGGCTTTCACAATTTTCAGTTGTTTGGTTGCAACGAAAATTTAATTTTGGAGGGATACAGAAATTCTCCAATTGAGTTCCTTTTTTTCTATTTTTTTATAATCAACCTCCAAAACCCTAATTTATGGGGTTTTTACAATTTTAAGTTGTTTGGGTGCAAAGAAAATTTAATTTTAGAGAGATTGAGAAATTCTCCAATTGAAGCTTTTCTTTTTTTTTTAATATTTTCATAACATTTTTTGTTGGTATTAATGTTTTTAACCGTTATTGATCTAAATGGTTAGACCATTTGGCCCAAAAACTGTTCAGGCAACCGGTAGAGTGCACATGAGGCCCATTAACCATATTGCAAAGAACCTACAATTACATGGATTTTGATCCTGCACCTTCATATTCCGAATTGGAGGGACGACTATATCAATTTCATTCGCCAAATATTACCTAGATGTGGTTCCATGGTTCATGGTTGTGGTAGTTGCCTGTTTTGTCTCAATAGGTGTGATGTGTGATATATGAAATAGTGGTCCTGTTGGTGGCTATATCAATCCTCGTGATTTATAGATATGGCTATACTTATACCTTGTTCATGACAATGAAGGGTGTCCTTTTATTGACAAGCATCCTTCCTACAAATAAGGTCTTTTGTCGAGACAAATGTCATCTTAATATAAGTTGCACTTTAGGCCGTGTTCACTTTTCGGGAGGTTAATTATCGGGGTAAATGCATTTATCTCAATAAATATTTTCCAGGAAACACTTACTCAGGTACGTGTATTTATTCATATTATTTATTTCCTAGGTAAATGAGACAATGGTCTTTTTAGTCATAAAAATCCATTATTAAAAGGGGTAATTTTGTCCCATTGAAATGTTGACAACTTTTCCCCTGGTGAGCAAATTACTTATCCACCTAAGAGATGTGTATAAGTGATGCCAAAGGAAAATAAATTTTCTATGGATCCTACATAAATCTGACAAAAGAACATGGGTGTATTTTGGTTAATGGGAACCAAAATTCCTTTGACTGACTTTCCCCCCTCTCAAAATCCAAAAAACTAATGGGCCCTTAGAACAACCAATAATCGGTATAAGGGATTGTCTTATAATAGCTGAAGTGGCCAGACTGAATTATTCATCATTTAGCCCTATAATAGGCAAAAAATTAAAAAATTAATATTCAGCGTCTAACAATAAACCCAACTTCACAACCTCTTTGATAATTCATTCATTAAGGATTCATTTGTTTGTAGTGCAGTTTCAATTGCACTGGTGCAATAAAATGGGAGTGTAAATTTTGTTTTACTTTTATTCAGTTTAGTTTATTTCCAGTTTGCAACAAACAAAGCAACAACAAGTCATTTAATTCAATCACTTCAAGTTTTATTGAAAATGACCCCTTACTTTGGAGTTTGGCACATCTATGCTATTATTAAACATATATTTACATTTTTGTTGCAAATCATAAAAGTTAAAATTGATTATATAATGCCAACTTAAATCTTTACCCTTGCACATGGGCATAACACATGCCCTTTTATGATAAAAACAATGCTTGACAATTAAAGTGTGGGACACCTCTATAGATGTGTCGGTTGTTACGAACAACATGTCGTATTTCCAAGTGTTGACATATTCCAATATACTTGGAGGAACAAATATACGTGGGAAAGGTTGGATTGGGCTTTTTATAATAATGTTTGGGGTCTGGAATACTTTGATACAATTCTTGAAGATCTCCCCTTTCTTTCTTCAGACCACTCCCCTATCCTCCTTAACATTGACCATAAGGTTCCTAAAAGGCTAAAAGGTTCGAAGCTATGTGGTGTGAAGATCCAAAATTTTCAGTAGTTGTGGCCAATTCATGGAATAATAATGTTTTTGGATTTAGAGCAATCCGGTTTTTCTTTTTAAAAAAAGGTGTTCGTCCAAAATATTAAGAGATGGAATAGAGAGCATTTTGGGCATATCAATAAAAAGAAAAAAGACTCAATGGCCAGACCGGTTAAAACCCAAAAGAGAATTTTAGACAATCCAAGTGATAGAGCTCAGTTAAATTTGGAGAAAGCCCTCCAAATCCAGTTGGATAAAATTCTATATAGGGAAGAGATCCTTTGGCACTAAAAATCCAGAATTGATTGGCTGAAGTTAGGGATAAAATTAACAAACTTTTTTCAAACTATGGTCTCCATTAGGAGGAATAGGAATAAAATTTTCAGAATCCGAAAAGATGATGGTGTTTGGATTACTAATCAGATGGAAATAGTTGACTATTTTGTTAAATGTTTTGAAGAAAGATTTTGCTATGAGGGTACTTCAAGAGTGGACGAGTTCATTAATAATATTCCCCTAGTATTTCCGAGGAGCAAAACAACATAATCGGAAATGAAGTTTCAAACTCAGAGATCTAAGAGGCTCTGGTTTTGATGAAAGTCCTTAAGTCTCTAGGACCTGATGGCCCAAATGCTCTGTTCTTCATAAAGTATTGGCATATTGTTGTGGAATTCATTAGTAACGCCATTAAGGCATTCTTTCATTCTGGGAGATTAAATAGGACTTTTAATGAAACATTTATCACTCTAATCCCTAAGTCAATGAATCCAGAAACCGTAAGCAATTATAGGCCTTAAGCCTTTGTAATGTAATTTACAAAATTGTTACCAAAATTCTGGTAAACAGAGTTAAACCTTTCCTTGATTCTATAGTCTCTCCTTTCCAAAGTACTTTCGTTCCAAATAGACAAATAAATGATAATATTCTCATAGAACATGAAATGATGCACACTATGAAAAAGAAAAAAGGTAAATTTGGCATAATGGCCTACAAGGTAGACATGGAGAAGGCCTATGATAGGTTAGAATGGGACTTCATTGAAAAGGTTCTTAACAAATTTGGATTGCAGAAAAAAAATGGATCGGTTGAGTCATGACCTATATCAAATCTGTGACATTTTAGATCCTTATAAATGGGACTCCCACAAAAAAGTTTGAGCCCTCTAGAAGAATTAGACAGGGGGATCCAATCTCTCCTTATATTTTTGTTTTATGTGCTAAAGCCCTTACTAGAAACTTGATCAAGGAAGCTGAAAGTCCTAAGAGCCCTATTGGTTGTAAGGTCTTGAGGGGGGGGCCTTGCATTCCAATTCTTCAATCTGCTAATGATTGCTTAATTTTCACAAAATCTCCAATTTCTGCTTGTGTCAAAATTAGAGAGGTTCTATAAAATTTTGCATAAGCCTCGGGGCAAAGCCTAAAATTTAACAAGTCGATTTTATCATTTTCAAAGAACATCCCTCCAAGACTTCAAAAGATTTTGTCTAGAATTCTAAGGATCCCTAGTAAGGCTTTAAAAGAAATTTAAATATTACCTCGGAGCTCCAATTTTAAATGGCCGAACCACTAGTAAGGCTTTCAATGTGATTCTAGATAAAATAAATAGTAATTTGGTGGGGCGGAAGAAGAAGACTGTCAGTTGCTGGTAGAGTAACTCTCTTGAATTCAACAATTAGTTCCATGCCTCGGTTTATCATGAGGTCTTTCAAGATCCCACCTACTGTTATAAAGAATATCGATAAGAGTCAAAGGGATTTTTTGTGGTTAAAGAATAATGGCAAAAAACCATTCCATTTAATGAGATGGGATAAAATAT